GAAGAAGTGCAGCCAGAGTGCTCTTTGATGGCCAGAATGGCCTGACTTTGTCTCTCATACTTGGGATATATTGTCAGGAGGGACCAGTTACTGGAGAAGGATACCATGTTTGGTAAGATGGAGAGTTTGAGAAAAAGAGGAAGACACCTAGTGAGACGGATTGGCTCAGGTGTAGCAATTATTGTGAGGTTGGCCCAGGACCAGGCAGTGTTTCGTTCTGTTGTGCATAGGGTCGCTATGGAAGAGATCTGTATTTGTGCCCATTCCAAAGAGAGATGACTCAACAAAATGCGGAACTCATTGGACAATATCATTAATATCACATGCAAGTAAAATTTTGCTAAAAATAAGTTAAAATGACTGCAACAGTACATTGACAGAGAACTGCTAGAGGTTCAAGCCAGATCCAGATAATGTTGAATGAGGGATATCTTTGCTGTCATAAGATGGATCCAAGCAGAGAATACCAAAAGGATGTTTGCCTGTGGTTTATTGACTATGCAAAGGCTTTCAATTGTGTGGATCATGATATGCTATGGACAACAATGAGTATTCCAGAGCACTTACTTGTACTCAAAAGAAAATTATGCATAGACCAAGAGGCAGTTGTTTGAACAGAACAAAGGAACATTGAATGGTTTAAAATTAGGAAAGGTGTGCACCAGGGTTGAATTCTTTCACTATACTTATTCAGTCTATATGCTGAACAAATAATCTGAGAAGCTAGATTATATGAAGAAAAATGTGGCATCAGAATTGGAGGAAGACTCATTAACCACCTGCAGTATGCAGATGATACAACCTTGCTTGCTGAAAGCAAGGAGGACTTAAAATACTGATGATGATCAAAGACCACATACTTCAGTATGGGTTGCACCTTAATGTAAAGAAGACAAAAGTCCTCACTACAGGACCAATAAATAACATCCAAATAAATGGAGAAAAGATTGAAGTTGTCAAAGACTTTATTTTGCTTGGATCAACCATCAACACTCACGGAGCAGCGGCCAAGAAATCAAATTTGCATTAGGCAATCTGCAACACAACACGTCTTTAAGTGTTGAAGAGCAAAGATGTCAGTTTGAGGACTAAGGTGCACCTGACTCAAGCCATGGTAGTTTCAATAACCTCATATGCACGCAAATATTGGATAGTGAATAAGGAAGACAGTAGAAGAATTGATGCATTTGAGCTATGGAGTTGGAGAATATTCAAGGTACCTTGGACTGCCAAAGGAGCAAACCAATTTGTGTTGGAAGTACAACCAGAATGCTCCTTGGAAACCAGGATGGCCAGACTTCATCTCTTATACTTCGGACCTATTGTCAGGAGGGAACAGTCCCTGAAGAAGGATATCATGTTTGGTAAAATGGATGGTCAGAGAAAAAGAGGAAGACCCCCAATGAGATGGATTGGCACAGCGGCAGCAGTGATGGGCTCAAATGTTGTAAGGACTGTGAGATTGGTGCAGGACTGGGCAGTGTTTCGTTCTGTTGTGTTTAGGTTGCTATGAATCTGTACCGACTCAATGGCACCTAACACATACACATAGAGTCCTAGTATGATGCTGTAGGATAAACACTGGACTGCTAACTGTAAAGTTGGCAGTTCAAACCCACTAGTTGTTTAGAAATGACTCGATGGTACGTAACAACAATAGAGTCACTGTGAGTTGGGATAAAATTAATAGCAAATCAATACCAGACAGGGCAAGAAAAGAATCAAGGAAGACTCCCCCAAGCTTGAATGTTGTTTGCCATTGACTCATGTTGTTGTTGTTATGTGCCGTAGAGTTGGATCCGACTCATAGTGACCCTGCACAGGGTTTCCAAGGCTGTTAATCTTTACGGGAGCAGAACGCCTCATCTTTCTCTCATGGAGCAACTGGTAGTTTCAAACTGCTGACCTTGCGGTTCGCAGCCCGATTCGTAACCACTATGCTACCAGAGCGCCATTGACTCATAGTGACTTTGTATAAAGTTTTCAAGGAGCAACTGGTAGGTTTGAACTGCTGACCTTGTAGCTCAACCGGACCTTGCCCACAGGTTAGCCAACGCTTTATGCTACAGCACCACACCAGGACTCCAGCTTAAACATTTACAATTGGGAAAACCAATTTTATGGGGTTGGGGATGCAGGAAGTAAAGAGTTCTGTGTTGTATGTGTTAAACTGGAGATGTGTACAAGACAATGGACTGTAACAATGAGCTCAAATAAAACAATTGTGAGGATGGTGCCAAACCAGGCAGCCTTTCGTTCTGTTGTATGAACCAACTCAAAGGCACCTAACAACAACAAATAAAAACACTCTGAAAAAAATTGCTGAAAAGGCCTTGAAGTGGATACTAAATTTCCACTGGCATAAATGCATGCCATTTTTTATATTTATTTCACAGGTCATTATCATTAAGGGTCAGATGTGGACTTATATGTCTGGCAGATGGGGACCTCCAGCATTAACTTAGTACACACATTCTTAATGAGGACTGTATTGCCCCCTCAACAGGATGAAGATTATTTTAAAGGATGAAAAAATCTTCAATATTACCAGGGTGTGTAGCCCTCTACCTGACAAAATCCTACCTGAAAAAATCTTATTCCTTAGCGTTTCTCTTATTAGAGAGAATTTAAATTCAATTAAGTCCTGATGTGGCACTGTAGGTTAATGTACTGGACTGCAAGGTCGGCGGTTCAAGCTCACCTGCATCTCCTTGGAAACCCTGTACAACCCTATGTGTTAGAACCAACTCGATGGCACTTAACAACAAGAAGTTATTTTTTTCACTTTGGGTGAATAGTTGAGAAGCACTGGCCTAGAGCAAGAACACGGTCTTTGGTTAGAGAAAGGCCTGATATGAATCCTGGCTTCCCCACTCACTGTGCCCTTGGACATAACATTTCACCTCTGTGCATCACTTTCACCATGGAATACTTCTTACCAACAATACTTCTTACCTGAGAATTTTTAGAAGGGTTACATGAGATGCAATGCTAGGTGTATAGTAAGTGACTGACATATTTCTTTTCTTTCCTTTTTATTCTATCTCCCCTTCCCAGAAAAGAGAATTTAGATTATAGTGAAGGAACTCCAGTACGGATCCTATCAGTAGAAAGATAACAGACAAAAGCTTGTTGGGGGAGGGATAAAACAAGGTAACTGACTTAACATGGGTGTGTGTGAAGAGGGACCCAAGGTAATTCTGAGGGATTTGACACTCAGTGTAAAGCCACCACTAAAGATTCTTAAAGGAGCCCTGACAGTGTAGTGGATTATGAGCTGGGCTGCTAATTGTAAAGTCAGCAGTTCAAATCCACCAGCCACTCTACAGGAGAAAGATTAGGCTTTCTGCTCCTGTATAGAGTCACAGCTTCAGAAGCCCTATACAGGGTTGCTATGAGTCAGAACAGACTTGGTAGCTCACAACCAACCAACCAAAGATTCTTAGCTGACAGTTGAAAACAGTAGCTCAGAGACATTTCTGTGTCTGGAACAGGGTCCAGAAGAAGGAAGCCCATATTAATTTTGATGGATTTAGAAGCTGAAGATCTGAGTGTGTAAAATGTTGGAAAACTGAAGAAATTAATTATGGTCAATCTATTTTGAAGTATCATGCAGTCAATACAATCGTTTGGGAACAACATTTAGTGACACGGAAAAACAATACTATAATAAAATGTAAACATTATAAAATCATAAATGGTTTCATTTTTGTCAAATGCTACATAGCTAGGTAGGAAATCGATGAAAAATTATCTTGAGTGGTATTTTATTTTATACTTAAATTTTTTTTCTACAAAGAGCTCATGTTGCTTTTTCGAGCAAGAAAATGCATTTTCCAAAAGAGCAGCTTTGCCAATAACAGGTTGCACCCCAGCCAGCAGTGGACCCACATTTCAGCGCTACCCTAGCTTCTCGGGCCCCGAGGAACTAAGGCTGGAGGGTGTGGCCCGGAGGTATGAGACCCAGGACCGTAAGGGGGACGGTACGGGGCCGCCCCTGCCTCTGGAGGATCGAACCAGAGGAACGGGCGGGAAGAACCAGAACCCTCCCCGCTCATTGGGCACCCGGTGCTGGGCACAGGGAGGGGTGGGGCGCCGGCCTCGAGAAGCGTCGGGATCTCTGGGGGCAGCAGAGGACCTGAAGGGCGGAAGGGCCCCTCCAGCCGCCTTCCCCAGCCCCATCTCTGAAGTAGCCGGCGGGGAACCGCGCCAGCCCGCGCGCCCTCCGAGGCATCAGTGACTGATGGGAGGTGGGAATGTGGGCGGAGCCTCAAGCAGGAGCCGTGATTGGAGCTACAACACCACCGGAGACCGGGAGAGGGATGCTCAGAGGCGGGTGCTCCGACCCCTCCCTGTGATTGGCTAGCAGCGAAGTGACTCAGGCGCTGTTTCAATGATTGACAAGAGAGAAACTGCCTGAGGAACCCGCCTTGGCTTCGCCCATTGGCATCTTGCGAGAGTAGGCGGGATCATCACCGTGTGGTGTTGATGATTAGCTGGCTGCTGAGAGTGAGGGTGTTGGGAGGGAGCCCCGAGAGGCGGAGACAGAGCTGAGGACTTCCTCCGAGTTATTGGGCAGTGAAGTGAGTTGGGGCGGTGCAAAGGGCCAGCGGCTGCGTAGGATTGGGAAGCGCGCGGGTGAATGACAGACAGGGGGCGAGCTGCGTGACCAGCGGTTTGTTTTTCGGAGCGTTCCTGAGGTGGAGAACGGTGGCCGGAGCGACTGCGGTACTGAGGGACTAGCGGGCAGGCGGGCCGAGCGGCACCGCCGAGGCCGGGCTGGGCCGAGCCGCGGAGCGCCGGGGATGTAGCGAGCCGCCCTGCCCATGCCACA